ATATTTTTTTATTTATTTTTTATTAAATCATTATCTTTGTACATATACCATTGCCCCCCCCCCCCCAAACATACCCTCCCTCCCCAGAGTTTTGTGTCCATTGGTTGTACTTATATGCATGTATGTAAGTCCTTCGGTTCATCTCTTAACTCCCCCAGCTGGCAGCTGATATATTTAAATGCAGAAGAATCACACTAGTAAAAGCTTATCCTAAGGAAATAATTTTAAAAGTTTTTTTTTCAACTTTTCTATTTAAAAAGATGGTATTTGAAGCCTAGTTCATAACTGTGAAAAAGTATAGAATGACTGAACTGTTCCACAGCCAAAAACTAGATGAAGATTCTGGGAATAGCAACAACAAAACACTCAGAAAATAAAGTGACCTTTTAAAAAGAAAACAAAATCGTACCTGCACACACTAAGCATATGGTGTGAGGAGATTAAAACATCGAATGTAATAACAGAAATGTAGATACTGCTAAGTAGGAAATGAAAATTATATTGGGATAGTAGAAACAAAGGTGAAGTTTTCTATTCACATTTCCTCTGCTATATTGTGGTTTTAACCATAAATAACATAGGTTAGGTTTCTTGTGTATGGTAACTTTTGATATGGTTTTAAAATGAGAAAAAACAACACTGAATGCAAGTTACTTTGCTAGCTAATATTTTCTTTACCAAATTAGCACAAACTGAACTTGGTGACACTCATCATAATAAAAAAGTAAGAGGCACTCTCATCCATAACCAGTTGAAAAGTAAATTAGTCCAATTTTTTGGGGGGAGGCCATTTTCCAATCCATTTTCACTTCTAGGAATTTACCCTATGTCTTTAGCTGTACAAACACACTAAGATTTATATATAAAGTTATTTATTGTACCTTGTTTGAACTGCAATACTGGAAACAACCTAAAAATTAATTTCTAGGGGGTGATTTAGGAAAATTTAAGTAAATCCATATATTGAATTCAACAGAACTGTTCAAACTAAGGCAATCACAATGGACACAGACACCAGGGGGAGTGAGGGCATGATTGGGGGAGGGGTTTTAGGGAGGGTAAGGAAACATATGTAATACCTTAATCAATAAATAAATACAACTTGAAAGCCTTAAAAAAAAATTGAGGCAGAAAGATGAGACTTTTTGAGACAGTAAGAAACACTCTATATCTTGAGTATAATGATGGTTTCAAAATGAAGCAGAGAAGAGAGACCTTTGGAAGGGAATGAAATACCATATATCTCAATTATGGTTTACATATTTGTCAAGTCATGGAACTGTACACCTAAAAAGGGTAAATTTAATCATAGGGAAATACCTCAAAAACTGAGGTGTTTTTTAAAATAAGCAAAAAAAGGAGGGTATAATTTTAGTCCCATTTGTAAAAAGAAAACGTAACCTCACAATAGTTTTTTAGGGAGAAGAAATGCTATGGGAATAAGAAGGCATTTATTCTTCTGTACTGCTTGAAGTTTTCTTCTTGACGTTTTTAACACGCTTTTATTATTTATTTGATTCCCTCTACTCAAAACTCATGCGAATGGCTGAGACCAGCTCCCACCTTCATCTCCAATGCAGGCCTTGCTGTGCGGGGCAGGCCTGTGTGGGGCAGAGCTGGGCCAGGCTGTGCGGGGCAGGGCTGTGCGGGCCAGGGCTGTGCGGGCCAGGGCTGTGCGGGCCAGGGCTGTGCGGGCCAGGGCTGTGCGGGGTAGGGCTGTGCGGGGCAGGGCTGTGCGGGGCAGGGCTGTGCGGGGTAGGGCTGTGCGGGGCAGGGCTGTGCGGGGCCAGGCTGTGCGGGCCAGGGCTGTGCGGGGCAGGGCTGTGCGGGGCAGGGCTGTGCGGGCCAGGGCTGTGCGGGGCAGGGCTGTGCGGGCCAGGCTGTGCCAGGCTCGGGAGCCGGTCAGGTCATCACCGCAGCTGTGCACTCAGTGTGGCTGGAGTGAGTCCCCAGGATGTCATGGGCAGTGTGCTCTGGTATGCCATATATATAAACATATTTACGTAAACTACCTTACAGAAGAAATTACTGTCAAACACATGACTTAGCAGTTCCAACCATTAACCCTAAAAAATGCCTCTCTGCTAACTTGTACCATTTCAAAGGTTCAGAATTTCAAGATAAAATCAACATTCTCTGTGATGCCACACAAGTCCCAGGAATGGAGCGCTGTGGTGCTAAAGCAATCCAGACCTAATGAAAACTCATTCAAATGACAACTGGTTTTTTGTGGGTTTTTTTTACTTTGAAATAGTTTTATTGGCTCATAAGACTGACAACTGGTTTATGGCCTAGTGACCTAGATATTTCTTTCTGCTTTCCTTTATTTACTGATTGACTGAGAGAGAGAGGAGAAAAGACAGAGAAGGAGGCCTGGGCTTGTCATTCCACCTATTCATGCACTCATTGGTTGATTCTTATCTGTGTCGTGACTGGGAGCAAACCCACAATCTTACTGGGATGATGCTCCAACCCCATGGTCGGCAAACTGCGGCTCGTGAGCCACATGCAGCTCTTTGGCCCCTTGATCAAAATACCACGGCCTGGGGGAATCTATTTTGAAAAAGTGGCATAGAATAAGTTTAAGTTTAAAAACTTTGGCTCTCCAAAGAAATGTCAATCGTCGTACTGTTGATATTTGGCTCTGTTGACTAATGAGTTTGCCAACCACTGCTCTAACCAATTGAGCAACCTGACCAGGGCTGTGACCTAGATATTTTTAAGTAAATAACACCTTAAAAAATGATTCTAGAGAGAAGGGAGAAAGAACATCTATGTGAAAGAGAAGCCTCAGTCAGTTACCTCCCACTTGCGCCCCAACCAGGGGTCAAACCTGGAACCTGAAACCTGGGTGTGTGCTCTGACAGGAGCCGAAGCCGCTGCCTTTTGGTGTCTGAGATGCCGTTCCAGCTGCGCCACACTGGCCGGGGCCCAACAACATGCTGCTAAAGATTTGAAGACTAAAGACTTGAAGACTGAAAACTTCAAGTATTTTTTGAAAGTGGCATCTAAATTTTTAAGAATCAAGCTCTTAAAAAATACGAAGATAAATCCTCACCACCACCAGTGTGCTCCAGGTCACACACGGCCTACTCCGGGCCCGGTGCAACAGGGCCGGCTCGTGGCCCAGTCCTCCGCAGGGCAGAGCCTGAAAGCCAGGGAGAGGTGTGTGGCTGCCAAGCAGACTGTGGGGCCGTGGCAAAGGTCATGGTGCCCAATCCATTCTTGACTGCAATTAGAAACGGAGGATGTGCTTGAAGAGAGCTTTCAAGACTGAACTTGCCAAATTCTAAAATTAAGAGATCCCAGTTGCAAATCACAAAAGAACAAGGTTTTCATATTAAATCAATGTAAGGAAATTTCCTTTGAATACTTGCATTTAAGAATTTAACCTGCACTGCCTAATACAGTAGCTATTTAGCCACACAGGGCTATTTAACTTTGTTTTAAAGTTAAAATTAGATTCCTCAGTCATGCTAGCAACATTTCACAGCTCAAAGCAATATGTGACTAGTTGCTAGTGTATCAGAAATCACAAATATAGAATATTTCCATCAAAAGCCCTATTGGACAAGACTGATTTATATTGTAGTTGGCCATTTTAAAGAAAGTGTCTTCTTAGGTCCCCATAGTTGTATTACTTTTATTCACTGTCTCAGTTACACCATAAATAGCAATGACAACAACAACAACAATCGCCTCCAATTGGCCCTAGAGCCAGGGAAGAGCTGCGGTGACCTGCCTGTCGTTATAAATAAGGGAACCCTGAGGCCTGAAGGGTAGAGCAGGGGCCAGAGGGGCCTGGGCTCTCTTCTTCCCACCTGGGACCCACCCTCCCTTCGCCCAGTAAGTATATGGCATCCAAATAGCCCGGCAGCAGAGTTCCTTCTGTGTCCCTTCACTCATCAGTCAACTTGCACTTTCTCAATGGAACTGAGGTTGTAAAAGACAAACTTCTGTATACCTTCCCATCTCTCGGAATTTTTAAGAAAAATCTAGGGATAAACTGTAAAAATACATATATAACTAAGAAGTATTTCTTTTAACCATCCGAGAAGCAAACAGATTGCTTCTGAAAACCAGGATCTTGAACCTGGCAACCACTGACCTAACTCCAAAGAAATTCCAAATGAATTAACCACAGTGGGCCCACCTTTAGAGGTTACGCTTTGAGGGCAATGACATTTGTATCACTTTTTAGCTAAACATTCCCTCAGGAAAGAAGGAGCACCTCTGGAAGACAGGTGGTGATGCTCTGAGGATTAACCTGTGTCTGATACATCAGAATTGTTTAAATTACTTCATAATAATTATCTGTTAAAAAAAACCACTATTAATTGTACATTATAATTTATTCCATACAGAAGATAATCTGCTTCTACTTGATCATTTACTCACTCATTAATCTAAAACAAGTGTGCACCTTTATTGGGCTCCTCTTATGGGTACTTAATCTCTAAAATATATGATTAAACAATATGAGGATTGAACACTGGAGAAGTATTTATAGAATCACACAGCCCAATTACAATAACTTTCATTTGAAAAATATTAAAAGCTAATAAAACAACTAATGCAGGTTTTGAAGAGACCTTTTCACCCAAAGTAAAAATAGAAAAATCTTCTTTTAAAAAATGTTAACTACACCTGAAATAGAAAGGTGCAGATCGCAAGAGACTTGTCCTAACTACTGAAAAAATACTTACTGTGTGTCTTTTAAAGGAGATCCTAAAAATACAGAGACTCCTTAATAAACCCTAGCATTCTAGGACTAACAGGACAGATGGGTCAGCGTCTGGTGATTCTGCTCTGGGAAGTGCGCCTTCCTGCATTCCGGCAGCCGGAGCCAGTGCTGGGGGCGGGGCTAAAGGACGGAGCTGGAGGGATGGGCTTGCTCCCGGGCGAGGAGCCTCCAGCCTTCAGGGGAAGGCAGTGAGCTCCGCCCTCAGCAGGTCCCAAGGCCTGCCTGAAGACAACGCGTTCTGCAGCAAGGCTGGGCGAACAGTCTAAAAACTAATAAGAGTTTTATTTGAAGGTCAGAAATAGTGTCCATTTTCCTGTTTTATTTTTCCTGGATCAGACCATTACATGAACAAATGTTAATAAAAAACTCTTTTATACATAAATTACAAAAAGGACCAAGATTTTCTAATACAGGAGAAAAAAGAGCAAAGGATTTGAGTACCATGTTGTACATTAACAGTTAGATAACCGTTATTCAAGAAAATGTGTCAGACATGAACAATAAACTCAGCATAGTCCAACCACAGAACATAAAAGGTTAACAGATGAGTTTAAGGCAAAGGTTATATGTAGCCATGGTCCAGAGCCAGACACTTCAATGGAGGAGAGCTCAGGAACTTAAAAATTAAGGAGGGTAAGTAACTTGCATGCTGGTCAATAAATATGCAACTTATTAGCACTTTACCTTCCTCTTTTGTAAATTTATTTTAAACTTGATCTAATAATCAACATCAACTGGAAATGATGACTACTACTAACTTTGTCATCTACATCTAGAAAGTTAAGAAGCCATAGCATGTTTCAAGCAACCAGAGTGCACAGAGGATGGGGAAAGAGGTTCTGTGGTCAATGCTGACTCCAGAAATTGACAAATTTCTTCCCAGGTCTGAGAGCCTCTTCAGTGCTTTCAACGTATATAACAAATCCGGAGTAAGAATCTGACCACAAGCTTCTTTTCTCAGAATGCCTTCAACCGACCTGGACAATTTTTTAAAAAATATATATATTTTATTGATTTTGTACAGAGAGGAAGGGAGAGAGATAGAAAGCTAGAAACATCAATGAGAGAGAGTCATCGATCAGCTGCCTCTTGCACACCCCCTACTGGGAATATGCCCGCAACCAAGGTACATGCCCTTGACCGGAATCGAACCCGGGTCCCTTCAGTCCCCAAGCCGACGCTCTATCCATTGAGCCAAACTGGTCTCTGCAACCTGGACAATTTTTAAATGCTCGCTTATTATGCTTTGTGGGAGTGACAAGCCTACACTCAGGAGTGGAGACCTCTGAGGAAGGAGAGAAGACACTGGTTTGAAAGGGCATGTAAAAGGCCTCTTACCACACCCGTATGTCTGCCTCTTTTAAAACTAAACTGGAAGTATGGACAGCGAGTGGCAGCAGGAAAGTGGTCACCAGGTTACAATTGCGGTGGAATGCATGGTGTCAGAAGAGCACCCAAATACACCCAAATGGAGCAGCCAACCTCTAACACATTTAATTTGCATATGCAAGTAAAAATGGCTTCTATTTATTTGTATCATATATTTACATGGAAGACTAACTAAAGCTGATCTAAAAGAAATTGTCAAGTAGGTTAAAAATTAAAATAAGCATACAGCTCATAAGATTAATGCTATGTAACTACTTCTGGCATCAAAGTGAAACTTTTACAAATATATGACTAAATATGTAATTTCTGAGTCCAGTAAAAACATAAGTAGGCATGCTGAGATGTAGGTGTCAGAATGCTGGTAAGCACACCTGAGGTGGGAGAAGAGTGGAAACAGAGCAAAGCACTAGTCCTGCCCTTATTAGTGTGACTCAGGTGGCTGAGTGTTATCCCATGCACCAAAAGGTCAGATTGCAGGTTGCAATTCCAGGGGTTCAGAATCCAACAGAAGGCATACAGGAGCCAATCAATTGATGCTTATCTCTCACATTGATGTTTCTCTCTTCCCTCTCCCTTCCTTCCTAAAATCAATATATTACTTTTTTTTAAAAAGAAAAATGGAAAGAGGTGTTTTATTCGAGCACTATTTCCAAGTTTAAAGATTATATATTAGAAAAATATTGAGGTTTTTTTTAAAGGGAGCAAGACAATCAGAAGTCCATAGTGATATAAATTCTATATAATAAAAGCTTAATATGCTAAGTGCCCAGTCATCTGTTCAACAAATCAAAGCATAATATGCTGACTAGAGGCCTGGTGCACGAAATTCATGTGTGTGTGTGGGGGGAGGCCTCCAACCCAGCCTGCAACACCAGCATCCCACCATCTTTGTGATGGAGTGATGGTTAATTTGCATATTACCCTTTTATTAGCTAGGATATGCTAAGGCCCTTTAACTGCTCGCTATGACGTGCACTGATCACTAGGAGGCAGACGCTCCAACCAGTATGTTAGTTTGCTGCTGTGGTTAGACTGATTGGGACTGAGCGAGATGGGCCAGACACGCCCCGGAGCCTTCCCATAGTCCCTCCCTGGCTGGCCAACCTCCCACATCCCTCGCCAGACCCCAACATGCACCAGTGGGGTCCCTTGGCCTAGCCTGTGCCCCCTTGCAATCTGGGATCCCCTCGGTGGATGTCAGAGTGCTGGTTTCGGCCCGATCACGCAGGCCAGGCTGAGGGACCCCACTGGTGCATAAATTTGTAGTAATTGAATAAATAAATAAGAGAGGGGGAAGAGTTGACTCTCCAATGTCTAAAAATTCCAAATATTGGATGTAGAACCTAAGTCCCTATCCCTTAAATATGGACTGTGCATCATGACTTCCTCCCACAGACTTATAAAATGGAAAAAGGAGGGAACCAGCCTGACATTGGGGAACTCTGGCAAACACTGTCTCAACCTTGTGAATAAGGTCAACATCAAGACACCTTTCTTCTGATGTGATAAAAATGACATGTTACCTCTGATCTTCCTCCCAAATCCCATAAAAACCACCCATCATGAGGAAAACAAAAAATCAGCTAAATTCCAATTGAGAAACATTTCAAATTACCATAAAACTTCTTATCAAGAGTCTGAGTACAAGACGGTGGAACAGCCCTAACCGGTTTGGCTCAGTGAATAGAGTGACCTCCTGTGAAAAGTCCCAGGTTCAATTCCGGTCAAGGGCATGTACGTTGGTGGCGGGCACATCCCCAGTAGGGGGGTGCAGGAGGCAGCTAATAGATGTTTTTCTCTCATCAATGTTTCCTACTCTCTATCCCTCTCCCTTCCTTTCTGTAAAAAAATCAATTATATATATATATATATATATATATATTTTTTTTTAGACAGTGGAACAAATTTTTGAGAGTGCTACAGTGGGGGGAAAACTTAGAAGCTGTAATTCTCTACCCAACCAAAACCTCAATGTAAATGTAAGCATAAAATAGATACAATTTGTTTTAAATTTTGCCATATAGGACCTAAATAAAAAATAAAGAGAGAAAGAAAGAAAGAAAAGATAGAAATCATGATTCTAGATATGTGAAAACCAAGTAATGCTTACAAGAAATTTTAAAACTGGCCGGCAAGCATGGCTCAGTGGTTGAGCATCAACCTATGAGCCAGTTTGGGCATATGCCTGGGTGCAAGAGGCAGCCAATCATTGATTCTCTCTCATCATTAATGTTTCTATTGCTCTCTCCCTCTCCTTTCCTCTCTGAAATCAATAAAAATATTTAAAAAGAAAATGTAAAAATCAGTTCAAATTAAATACAAAAAATACCAGTATTTCCTTATGGAGGTGTTTAAAACTGCTATCTTCCTATATTTTACTAAATGAATGAATGATGAAAAAAAAAAAAAAAAAAAAAAAAAGTCCAGAGAGAAAATACATGTATACACATCACATTAAAAACCACAATTGTAAAAACAACAAAAAAAACACAACATAATTATGTTTTTAGGAAAAACGAATCAGTATTCTGCCTTCCTCACTAGTACCAAAATGAATCATGAAAATTCCCATTTCTATGTGCAATTTGCATACTTCCCTCCAATAGGAAGAAATAACCAAGAGATGAAATCAGTTTTCTCCACTAGGTACAGTGCCACCACACTTTTATTTAGAATTAAGGTGTGTTAAATGTAATTTAATTCACATTTGTACTATGGTTAGTGCTCATAGGTGACACCATGGCTGATAGCAGATCTGGAGTAAACCTGATCTATTTAAATCTCGTCACTTTCCATTTATGGCTGTGTATAATATACTTAATCCTTGCTAAACCTTAATATTTTCATGTGTAAAATGAAGACTACTTACTGACTGGGTTATTTCAGGAATTAAATGAAGTACTTAGCATCATGCCTAGGACACATTTTGAAGAGTCAATGAAAGCTCTTATTTTGATCCAATCTCTGCCCTGAAAAAGCTCATCACAGGGATAATTATTTCTACAGTTAGTTATCAAGCAAGAGCTGTTACCATGAAGAGTATGAGAACACATAAAACGGCTCAATTTGAGAGTCCTATCCCAAACTGAGCCATCTTAAGACTTAGCTGCATCTCAGTTTTCAAATGACCCGAGAAAAAAACACTGGGTTGTAATTAACATCCAAAGACTTGATCTAGTACCATGGGTCTCTTAGAATTGGAAAATCTAAAAGGGGGCCATTTATTATTTAGACTATGTTTTAAGTAACTAAGAAAAACAGATTAATACTTTTGATGTAACATTATTGTCTTCACTAGATTGAAATGTCTCAGTAGTGAAATAATACCAATCACTTCCTTTTATATGTATGGAGCAAATGTTTGATGATTCTCTCTACATTTTCTCTGCTTCGAGAATATTAACTCATTTCAACCTGGCCACTGTTTCTCAGTGGTTGGAGTGTCAGCCGAGCACCAAAGGGTGGCAGGTTAGAATCCCACTCATGGGCACATGCCTGGATTGCAGATTCCATCCCTGGCCTTGGTCAGGACATGTGCAGAAGGCAAGCAATCACTTGTCTTTTTCACATCAATGTTTCTCTCTCTCTTTCTCTATCCTCCCATTCCTCTCTTTCTCCCACTCTCTAAAAACCAATGGAAAAAAATATCGAGTGAGGATTAATAGAATATTAACTCATTTCTAGGGGGGGGGGGGACTATAGGAAAAATTCTAAGCTTAATTCAAGTGTATTACAGTTATTTTACTTGATCACTTACCTCTAAATCCCTCAAAGCCAAGGATTACCCTAAATTTCAAATACATGATTAAAAACTTAAATAAATGCCCTGGCCAGTATGGTTCAGTTGATTGGGCATCATCCCATGCACCAAAAAGGTTGAGGGTTCGATTACTACCCTATTTCCCCGAAAATAAGGCAGTGTCTTATATTAATATTTTCTCCCAAAGTTGCGCTAGGTCTTATTTTCAGGGGATGTCTTATCTTTCCATGCGCTAAGTCTTATTTTCGGGGAAACACGGTAGTCAGGGTACATGCCTGGATTACAGGCTAAATCCCCGGAAGTAGTGCAGGAAGCAGCCAATAGATGCTCCACTCTCACACCGATGTTTCTCTCCTGTCCTCTCTTTCTACAAATCAATAAAAATGTTTTTTTTAATTTTAATACACAATATTCCTTAAGAAATGGGGGAGATGATACAAAGAAAAGACTCCCAGAAGAGAAGAAAGGGAAACTGTGTGTCTGGGAGTAAGTCTTAACTCCAGTGCTCAATGAGATGGTACCCTTAAAACCCTTTCTAACTTACTGTCAAAGAGTTACAGTGGGTGCACTGATTTCCCACCACTGCTATTGACCCCAAGTTTTATGAAAATTTCAAAAAACTTAAACCCAAACATGAGCACTGCCCAAAAATAGATGTGCTCATACTGATGAGTGAACTAACACAGAAAATAAAGCCCCAAATACACAGACGGCTAATAGGGCCTTGGTGCCAGAGGCTCCGCCACTCTCCGGAGGGCAATCACAGGCACTTCGGAGCACGCGCCCCGCCTGCCTTCTCGTTTACATTGAACAGCAGCCCTCAGCTCAAGCCAGACAACTGCATCCAAACACAGCCAAGGACGTCTGGGAAGAAACCCCAAAACAGGACTGGAGGCTGACCCCGAAAGGAGGGAAAGAGGAGGGAGAGAAAGGAAGAAAGATGAGACAAGAAAAGGGAGGAGAAAAGGGAAGGGCGGAGGAGAACGAGACGCAGGTTCACCCTGAGTGAACTGAACAAACACTCCACACCATTGTACAACCCATTAACTTGGGCCACTGTGGCAGCTGCCCATTGCTCCAGACTGTCCTTTCACGCCCAGCTCCTGACGCACATGCATGCTCCAGTGAGCTACTCCTCAAGGGAGGAGCCTGTGGGGCGATGGACTCTACATAAACCGTACA